TGGTGGTGTTTAAAGAAAGATCCCTAAAATCCTAGACTGGCCTTGAACGTGAGATCTCACGGTCGCCACCTCCCCAGAGCTAGGATTCCAGGCCTTTGCCCCAACCCTGGCTCAGGCCTCACTCTTGAGAGAGACCAAGGCCAGGCATGCACAGACATTCAGGGCCCTGTGCTTGACCTAACACTCTTCTGCTTCCATCTTGAAATTCTTTAAAATATTCTAAAGGGTGTTGGGACAAAGGACACGTAATTTTTGTTTTGCACCAGGCCCTATAAAGTGTGTGCCCATTTTTACACCAGGGTAAGTGGGCGGGGCAAAGCAAAGGAGGGAAGAGGCAGGGAATGAGCTGAGTTTTGCTTCTCTTAAATTATGGAATGGAGCCGGGCGGTGGTGGCGCACGCCTTTAATCCCAGCACTCAGGATGCAGAGGCAGGTGGATCTCTGTGAGTTCGAGGCCAGCCTGGTCTTCAGAGTGAGTTCCGAGAAGAGACTGAGGGCTTAAGGTGGCCATCGCTCATGGGACGGAGGGTCTCTGGGATCTGAGAGTAGGTAATAGCCCCAGCTAGGAGGGAGACTGTTTGGAAGAGGAGCCAAGTGGCTGGGTGAGGCCAGAGGCCAGAGGTATTTCCTTCAGCTCCAGCCACTCGGGAGGGTGGGACCGGATTGCTCACGCAGGACACAGGAATCTGCCTTTGTTTCCAGCTGGAGGGGAAATGCCATAAATCCTGCCCCTTTCCCACCCCTCCAGCATCCTTGCCCAGGCTCTGCCCTTCCCAGGACAGGGGGTGGGGGGATGGGGGGGTGGGGACCTGGGACTGAGGGTCCTCAGGAAAGCTCTTGTCTCCTGGACCCCAAACCCACAGGCCTCTGTCCCTTGTTCCCCAGTACAGGTCTGGAGTAAACAGGCTGCAAGGAGTTGAGTCTGGGTCTGCTCACCTCTCTCCTCTCCTTAGCAGAACCACAGTCAAGGAAGCCACCTGGGGCTGACAGGAAGACTTGAGGACAAGCCTTGGGCTCCCCTGCCCCCCTTCCCGGACTCCTGCTTCCCATGGTCACACAGACTATGAGGAGAAGGGTGTATGATGCCAGAGGCGCAGGCAGGAGGGGTGGAGGGCCTGGGACCCCAGGAGAAGGGGGTGCTGCTTTCCACATCTACGTTTCTGTGCCTGCGTGGCTAAGGGTGTGCCTGTGTGCTTCGTGTTTGTAGGTGTGGCTTGTCTGTGTTCACCTGGGATCTGTGACATCCATGTCAACGTCACGTCTGTGTTCACGCAGGTCCCTGTGGTCCTGGCCGATGGCATGTCTACATGGGGCAATACTGTATGAGTACGGCCAAAATTTCTAGAAGTCGGTGTTGGTAGGGCTAAGGGGCTCCAGAGAGAGAGAGGCCAAGCCTTGTTCACTCCTTTCAGACCCAGAATATTTCTCCACAACGAAAAGTCCTGGCCTCAAAGAACCAAGGCCAGGGGGGTCCGACCACGGCATGTGCTCCTCTGGCAGGTCACCGGCCTGAAGGGTCAGGCAAGAAATACATTGGGGAGCTGGAGAGGAAAAGAAGACCAGGACCAGGGTTCAGGGTTCAGAGTTCAGGGTTCAGGGTTTAGCTGATTATTACTTGGATAGTGGTGACTCGTGAGTACTTTTCGCCATTGCTATGGAGAAGGCGGTCAGTATCCTGTCCTGGTTCCCTGGTGTGGGCCACAGGAGTCCCCATCTGTTCTTCTGTCTTTCTCTCGTGTTTGTGCTCCAGGGTCTCCTGAGATGTGTGCTGGCATTACTGGGGACACTGGCCTTCCTGGAACCTGGGCTGCCCGAGAGGTGGAGGCAGATGATTAAGTCTGTCCATGCATCGGGGCTCAAATGCACTGGAGCCCAGACACCATTCTATTCTATGTGCATTTGCTGAGTGGTAGGTGGGGCTGGACAGGGACAAACATGTCTTTACCTCAATAGGAGTGAAGGGAGGTTCCCTGGGTGGCCCCCGCCCCAGCCCAGCTGATACCCTCAGAATTTGCTAAGGGTATCCAACCCTGCAGTCCCACCTCTAAAGTCCTGACCTTTCACGGCAGGAACGGAGAGTGTGTGCTCCTTAAGAACAACTTGAGCAGCCACCAGAACTGTGGTGACAGAGCTGAGAGGCCGGTGGCTAGGGCAGAGATGTGCCCCTGTGGCAGAACTGGTCTGAGGAGGTTTCCGGGCTGGTTTTGTTTTTGTTTTTTGTTTTTTCCACATTTCAGGGGCCATCAAAATACCATGCTAGAATCCTGGGAAGCTGTGGCTCTTCCACTGTCCCTCTCAACAGAGGATAGCTGCTTACCTACCAGTCACATCTGTGCCTTGTATCCTGGGAAGTAGTTTATTTTATGTTACAAATGTGAGTGTGAGTGTGTGTGTGTGTGTGTGTGTGTGTGTGAGAGAGAGAGAGAGAGAGAGAGAGAGAGAGAGAGAGAGAGAGAGAGTGAGAGAGAGAGAGACAGAGACAGAGATAGAGACAGAGACAGAGAGAGGCAGGACCAGGATGGAACTTGGGTCTACTGATCTCAAAGGTCTCAGTGTAGCTAATTGTAGATGTAACCAACCATCTTATTAAATAAGAAACACAGAACCAATGCAAAGAAGAAAGCCAAGAGATCAGAGCTAAGAGTCTTACCCTGCAGCTAGCCTCTTCAGTCAAGAGACCTCTCCGAAAGAGACCTACTTCCTGTGTGTTTGTCTTTATATAGTCTTTCTGTTCTGCCTTCTCATTGGTTGTAAACCCAACCACATGACTGCCTCATCACTGCCTGTCTGTAGAGACTTCCAGGTCTTCTATGGTTGGGATTGAGATTAAAGGCGTGTGTCTCCAAGGCTGGCTGTATCCTTGAACACACAGAGATCTACCTAGCTCTGTCTACCAAGTGCTGGGATTAAAGGCATGCACCACCACTGCCACACTCTTGCTATGGCTCTAATAGCTCTGACCCCCGGGCAACTTTATTTATTAACATACAATTAAAATCACATTTCAGTACAAGTAAAATACCACCATAGCTAATAGTTGGCATGACAAGAAGCCGTGAGTTTCTTATCTTCTGCAGACATAGAGCAAGTGTGGAAAGCTCAGAGGCTGGGATGAGGCAGGAGACCTGGACGTTAGAGGGGAGGCTAACTTCAGGAAGCCCAGAGGAAAGCTGGCTTCTTTCCACTCTGCATGAAGGGATACAGGCAGGCTGGAGTCAGGAGCACTCAAGGGCCGAGAACTTTTTGGTGGAGGGCCTAGGACCCAGTCACCCTGGAGACGGTCAGAGATTGCAGGGGCAATTGTGGGGAGGGGGGCAGAGGGGAGCTCCCTCTGCAGAAACCACTGTCCAGATCCAGCTCAGACAGGGCAAACCTAGGGTGACCTCTGAGCAGGTAGGAGGGCAGCCTCAAGGGTAAGAGGAAGCCCGGCTGTGGGCAGAGGCGCATGAGGCTGTGGGCAGAGGCGTGTGAGGCTGTGGGCAGAGGTGCATGAGGCTGTGGGCAGAAGGTTCTGATGTCACACAGGCTTGAGCTTTTTGCTCCATTCACCCCTGGTCAGCTGGTGACACTGGACCATTTGCTTAACTTTCACAGCCGTGGTCTCTTCCGGCGTAAGGTAGGAGGGTTGTAAAGGTCAAGGATGGCCAGGTGTGGAGCTCCATGCTCTGTTCGTATGCATTCCTCACAGAGGCCTTATGCCCCCCCCCCCATATGTATATGGCTGCTTTGTCTACATGTATATCCATACTACTTGTGTGCCTGGTGCTCACAGAACCAGAAGAGGGTGTCAGGTCCCCTGGGACTAGAACAGACAGTTGTAAGCTGCCATGTGGGTGCTGGGACTTGAACCTGGGTCCTCTGGAAAAGCATCCAGTGCTCTTAACTACTGAGCCATGTGTCAATACCCCAAGGTTGTTATTCTTGTTTCTGTCTACACATGAGAGCTGTGTGGTTCAGGAGGGTTACATAACTTGCCCAGGATCCCAAACCTCAGGCTGCAGCACTGGGCCACCATTGCCTTCCTAGGCTGTAGGTACGGTTGCTCCGCTGGCCCCTGCCGAGGCTGGCATCACGTGCTGTGATTTCAGTACTGGATGAGGAGGAAAAGGAGTCTATATCCACCCTGGAGACCCAGAAGCAGCTCAGTCAAGCTCAATTCTTTAATACCCACCCTCCCGACAGCACTTTACAGTTTACAGAACCCTTTCTCCATGTCTCCACGCCACAGGTGTGAGTCCTGAAGCAAGAGCAAGTGCTTCCTTCAGGATCCCACAGGTATGGGACAGCAGCATTAGCCAGCAGCCCTCTGCAGCTGCCTTCAGAGCACCCTGAGAGAAATTGACTCGACTTTACTAGTTATTTGTGCATGTGTGTGTGTGTGTGTGTGTGTTCCTATTCAAAGAGCAGAATAATTTTTTAATCAAAAAATGTATTAATGATTAAAATGTCAAAATTCTCTGTGCCTAAACCAAAGCATTGGTTGACACTGGTCCTCCCAGGAGCTGGGGTGTGACTCCTGCCTGCTGGCTGTGGGCTTCCTACAAGAGCCTCCCTTCAGAGAGGGTGGAAATTGAGGAAAGCCTTAAGTTCACAGGAGAAACTGCACGGTACCTCAGCCAACTGATCGGCACCAACAAGTGGCATGTCACCTGATGAGAACTTGACCTCTCTACATGATCTTCCTCCTGAAAACCCCAAACCCAGAGCTCCAGGCTAGACCTAAGAAAAACATCAGCCTTGGGCTATAGAGCAAGATGGGAGCGGGTAAGAGGGGAGGGGAGGAGAGGACAGGAGAGGGGAAGTGAAGAGAGGGAGGGAGAAGCAGAAGAGAGAGGGAAGGGGAGGGGAGGAGAGGAGAGGGGAGAGAAGGGAAGGAGGGAGGGGAGGGGAGGGGAGGGGAGGGGAGGGGAGGGGAGGAAGAGGATTACTGGTATCAAATACTCAAAGCTGTCAGATGGTCAACAACAAGGAAAGTCTTGTAGGATCCCAAGGGATCCTGTGACAGAGAGGAAACTGGGTGAAAAGTAAGGAAGTGTGAATCAGGTGTGGACTTGAGTTAATCACAATGGTGAGCTCATTCACTGCAACACACTAATAGCAGGGAAATCTGAGGTGTCTATGCATGATTGTCCTAACTGTTCTGTAAATCTAAAAGTGCAGGTATTTTTTTGATTTTGTTTTTAATGAGGCAGGGCCTGGAACTCATCATGTAGACCAGGCAGGCTTCAAACTCAAAGATCTGCCTGCCTCTGCTGGGACTAGTCATGTGCCACCATGCCCAACCATAATGCAAAGCTTTTGTTATTTGACTTAATCAAAAGATTTTTAAAATAGTGAAACATTTGCCTGGCTGCTGCTTCCTGGCCAGTATGTAAGCCCTTTTCTAGAGAAAATGTCTGCTTCCTTGTTGGGATGCTCCAGAGGAGACAGTATGGGCTAGTGCCCTGCTGTGGAGGCCATGGCCAGTGGCCGGGTTCCATTCTCAGTCTCTGCCAGTTTCTAACTGTGGAGCCCAGGCAGTTCTGTAAATTCTGAGCCAGGTGTCCTTAAACTTGGAGTCTGCCAGATCATTGAGAAGGGCAAATGTATGCATGTATACAGTAGGCACCTTACCTATGCATGTATGTATGCAGTAGGCATTGTACGTGCAGTTACTGTAGTTATCAGGAGCATACAAGTGCACTTCTGCAGGAAATGTGTTGGAGAAACCCCCCAAACTTCCTAACAAAGCCTCACAAAGTTACCAAGTGTCCCTTCAAAGGTATTTCAGATCATTGGCTAAGAACCCCACCTATGGGTCACCTAGGGGAGGTAACGTCTCTTGACATACTTATTATGGCTGTTTTTCCTCCCCTCTCTCTCCCTCCCTCCCACTTTCTTTAGGTAGGGCCTGTGTGTTGCCCAGACTGGTCTCAAACTCATAGCCTCCAGTGATCCTCCTGTCTCAGCCTCCTGAGTAGCTGGAGCTACAGATCTACGTCCTGTGTCCAGCAAACATGCTCTTTTCTACTCACTAAGGCCCAGACTTTGCAAAGTAATGGGTCAAGCACTGGAAGATTGACAAACAGCAGATTATTATTATTCTTATATCCTTCCTTTTTAAAATTTAATTTTACTCTATGTGTATAGGTGTTTTGTCTGCATGTAGCTCCAGGCACCAAGCGAGTGCCCGGTGCCCAAGGAAATCAAAATAGGACATCAGATCCCCTACAGCTGGATGCTGGGACCCAAACCTGGGTCCTCTGCAGGAGCAGCCAAGGCTCTAATCTGATCTGTCTTCTCCAGCCCCCAAATTATTTTTGTTTGGCAAAAAAGTAAAAAACAGTTCAGGTTTTCCTGTGGTTGGGAACTTACTTTCTTCTAACTTTGCAATCTTCTCCCCGCACCCCTTGCTCCACAGTCCTCCATTTCCTCCTTGGATCCATCCTGCTGCCCCACTTTCTAAGTCCTTACGTAGCTTTTGGTACTCATGACATGTCCGTGGTAATCTGCATTAGTTACTGCTCCCAAAGTTCAGTCCACAAGGCGAGCACAGCAGCGGGAGCCGGAGGCGGCAGGAGCCGGAGGCGGCAGGCCACGTTGCATCTGCAGTCAGGTAACAGAGGGGGTGCCATGCTGGGGTCCTCCTTTTCATTCAGTCTGGGGCCCCAGTTCATTGGACGGCGCTCTTCAAGTTCAGGTGGGTACCCAGAGGTGTCTCTTTTGTGTGATTCTAAATCACACACAGTTGAGGATAAAGATGTCCTGACAAACATGGTTACCTGAGGGGAGACGTCCCCTCTGACAAATGCCCTGCCTGCATGCTTTTCTACCCTTGGTTGTCTGCTTGGTACAACCGGAAGATAGATTCCGTGTGAGAACAGCTTGCTTTCTCCTGCTTTATGATACACTACACAGAATCCAGCGCATTGGTATTACCACCACAATCGCTGTAGCCGATCCCCTCCCGGCAGACACTGGGTTGGTCCTGTTCCCTCCTGCAGACACTACTGTGGACAACCTTGTACGTTCGGTGGAACCAGGTTCCTCAGGGCAGAGGCAGCTGGGAAGCAGAAGAAGCCCCAGACAGGAACGTGTCTTACTCGCCTCTAGCTTGGCCTAGCCCACCTCCCCATGGTTCTTAGCTTCATCTTCCTGCTTCTTCTTCTCCTGGTATCTCCAGAGAGGAAGAGCCAGACTTCGCTGGCCTGCAGGCCTGAGTATCAACTCTTCGTACTGCGTAGGGGAAGAGGGTGCCTTGGAGAGGAGGATCTTGGGGATTTGGGACCTGGCACCAGTACTGTCCCTGGACTGTAACCACTGGGAGAGCACACTCCGAGGGCTCTGGTAGGGGACAAAGACCTGGGGGACGGGGACAGCCTGAGGAGGGTGGGGTGCTGGGGGAGGGGGAGGGGCGGTGCCCAGCAGCTCAGGCACTGACTTGCCTCGAGTGCCCAGCATGGGTGGGTGATCGGGGCACAGTGTGTGGCAGGCGGTGGTGAGGAAGGGGCTGGCCAAGCTGGTGGTGACCGTCACAAAGTGGTCCAGAACACCCCCTTCCTGCGGAGACTCAGCAAAAGAGAGGCTCAGGGTAGCTTGCAGCCTTTCTAGGAGGGATGGGGCAGCCTGGGCCTGGGCCTGGGCCACAAGCTGGGCCAAGGCTGGCCACTCTGGCTGGTACTGCAGGCTGAGCTGCTCTGCCTGGGGTCGCCTCAGCAGCTGCCGGATCTTCCGCACGGTGTCAAAGCTGTCCGTCAGAACGGCCCACTCCAAGGCTGTCTTGCCCCGGACGGGATCCACGGAGCTCAGGTCAGCACCTGCAAGTGGGTCAGTGTGACAGGGATGAGTCAGGGAGCTGTGGTTTGCACATGGGCACATTCTTCAGCAGCAAGGCTGGTTTGGGCTGGATTCAAAACATCTCCCAGACTGGAAGCCCAGGGCTTCAGCCTTCAGTGTAAGAGACAGGACCGGGAGGGACTTGCAGAGAGCTGGTGCGGTCTCCAACAGGCTCATAGGGCCTGGGGAGAGTGGATCACGGGCTGCTCAAGCCACAGCTGCTGGGGAGCGGGGGTCCTGCCACTTCCCCCTCCCACTTTATTTCTTCATTATCATTCCTTTCTCTCTGGAGCCAGAGAGACACAGTCACTCTGTAAGGACAAGGGGTGCCCTTCCTTCCCCACCAAACCCATGGGGCTTGGGAAGGGAAAAGCTGGAGACCGGGATTCCTCAGAGAGACCAGCAGAGGGCGTCGACAGCCACCTCAGGGGGAATAATAAGGGTCCCACAGCTCCACAGGGGCCCTCCACTTCCTCCTGAACTGGGGTCAGTCCTCTCACTGCTGCCCCATGTGGCAGCCTTCTCTGTGCTGTGGCCTTGTTTCTCCGCCTGGGTCTCAGGCAATGGCGAGGCCGGGACTAGAACTCAGGATTCTGGTTGAAGGTGCCGCCTCACCCCCACACCTTTTCCCATCTTATGTCTGTACTCTTTTGCTGGGACCTCCATAAAGAGTTACGGCCAGCCGGGCTTTGCACACTGTGGAAAGGTGATAGCAAGCCCCTCCTCCATTAAGTTGGCCTGGGTCTGTGGTCCACCCGCTCCTCTCCTGCTGCAGCTAAATGGTGTCTAGTGGGGTGGCAGTGGAGGAAGTGGAGCCGCACACCCGCCATGAGGAGGGCGACCACACACTCAGAGCGGTCACGAACGGCAGCCTTCATCAGAGCTGTGAGTCCCCGCTGGTCCCTGCGCTCCAGGTCCAGGCCAGCAAAGTAGTTGAGCAGGAGAGTCACCAGGGATGTGTGACCTGCAGAGACAGGACCACAAAGCTGGGATCCCCAGGATGATGAAGCCTGGCCAGACGGACCCTTGTGCAAAGTTTGGGGTTGTGGCCCTGATGGCTGAGAGCAGGGGTGAGGTGGGGTGGGGGGAATGAGGGTGGGGTGCTGGGTGGGGTAGGGGGTTTGTGTCTTGCACCTGCTTGAGCGGCCAGCATGAGGGCTGTGTTTCCATCTTTGTCCTGCTGGTTCACATCCAGGAAAGGACAGGAGCTGAGCAGAACCACAATGGCACCAAAGCCGCGGTAGCATGCAACCATGAGGCCTGTCTGGGGACAGAGCAGCTTGGACCCCCACTTTCCACTAAGTTCTCCTTAGGAACCCCCTCACCACCACTACCACTGTTGCCCTCTAAATCTGCACATTCTCAGAGCCTGTCCCAACCCCCGTGAAGACGGTTCTCAGCCTCTGGAGTGGGAACAGTCTCTGGAGAGCCAGACCAGGATGCTGAGGGTGGCGCCTGGCCCGTCCCCAGCTGCCCCGCTGAGCCCTGGGGTATCTCACCTTCCCATTGCTGTCCACTTGGGAAACCTCCTCTGGGGAGACCCCAACATCCAGCCTGGCTCGGAGCTCAGCAGGGTCGTTGTGGACACAGGCCCAGTACAGGGTCTTCAGGTGACAACCAGGGGTAGGGGTCTCGTTGCTGGGGCAGGACAGTGCCTCAGACATGTCCAACCCTTCCCAGGTCAGTGGTGGCTCCCCTGTTTCCAGTCTGGGGCGGAAAGGTGAGTCCTTCTTCAGTCAGCTGGCAGCTGTGACAGAATGTAGAGGAAGAGTGTCTCCTGCGATCCTGGACAGATGTTCCTGCCGCTGCACCTGTCTTCCCCCCTCCCCCACCGTGCTCCCCCCTTCCCCAGACACAAGACAGGCAGCCAATGCGTCTTACGGTAGGTCAGTTTCCCAAGGAGGCTCACGATAGGGGTTATCATTTTCCCTCCCCCAACCTTACCTGGGGCTCTAGGGTCTCCAAAAGACCATCACAGCAGGCAGACCTGTGGCTCAGAGCACCCCCACACCCCCCCAAAAAAACACAGCAGTTCTTCTGTGGCGTAACCGAGGGACTATCACCAGGAAATGAGGCAGGTGACAGATGGCTGGACCTGCAGAAAGCTGCCATAAACACGTCGGCGCTGAGCTGGGTCAAGCGGGTTAGGAAGGGATTGGGGGCCTAGAGGGGTGCCCCATCCCTGTCCTAAGATCCCACTAGCCGTGGCTGGCGGCAGCTTCTCCAAGCCCACAGTGGAGTGGATCTCCCTGGGCGGATCAGTCTCACCTCCATCGTGGGACGTCGGGTGCTCTTAGAAGCGGTTTTCCAAGAGAAGCGTGATGAGGCTCCCGAGCCTGAGATCCCCTCCACTGCCCTGGAGCAGATGTGGGGAAGAGGCCGCGGCTGTGGTGTGGGAGAAGGTACGAGGAGCGTTAAATAAGTACGAGTGGGGAGGTGGCCTCCAGGGTTTAACCAAGGAAATCAAAACATAACGAGCTGTCAGAAGGCTGGAGAGGGGGCTCAGAAGTTAAGAACGCTGGCCGCTCTTTCAGGAGACCTGATCAGTTGCCAACACCCACTGGGCAGCTCACAGGGGTCTGGAACTCCGGTGCCGGGGAATCTGACGCCCTCTTCTGGTTCCTGTAGGTAACTGCATGCACATGGGCACAGGCGTACACACTGGCCAAACACCTCTAAACAGAAACATTAAAATAAAAGTTTTAAAAAAGGGTCAGGCGGTGGTGGCGCACACCTTTTAATCCCAGCACTCGGGAGGCAGAGGCAGGCGGATCTCTGTGAGTTCGAGGCCAGCCTGGGCTACCAAGTGAGTTCCAGGGAAGGCACCAAAGCTACACAGAAAAACTCTGTCTTGGAAAAAAAAAAGTTTTAAAAAAGCAATTTCAAATTAGAGTTATAGAAATTATGATGTATTCAATCTAGTGAATTAGATTTGAAGTGGTAAAATATGACTTATTAAAGTAATACTAGATTTGTGCTGTCGTTTTTGGAATGAATACGTTGAATGACTCAGAGCTCAGACTGTAGCTCTCCGCACTGGGGGACTTTGCTCTCTGGCTTCACATTGTTTTCCTCTCACTTTTGGTTCCTGTTCGGCTTTCTCCTCCTCCCTTTACTGGTTGGTGCTGATATAATAATCATGGAATATGTACATTTCATTAAAAACGTGATTTGTGTCTGTTTTTTTATGGTTTGGTTTCTTGCGTTTGTTTTATTGTTCTTTTGTTTGTTTTGAGAAAGTCTCTTATGTAGCCCAGGCTGTCCTCGAACTCAGAAATCCACCTGCCTCTGCCTCTCAAGCGTTGGGATCACAGGTGTGCAGCACCACATCTGGCTTGTGTATTTGTTTTTCTTTTCTTTCTTTTTCTGAGACGGGGGTCTCACTATGTAGTCCTGCCTGTCCTGGAACTCACTCTGTAGACCAGGCTGGTTTTGAACTCACAGAGATCCACCTGCCTCTGCCCCTGTCTCCCAAGTGCTGGGATTAAAGGCATGCACCACCACTGCCTGGCCACTTCAACAGGTTTCTGATTATGCTCCAGCACTTCTTGTTTTTCACTCAGTCCTGTGATTGAAAGACCTGTCCTAGTTACGTCACATGTAATTAAGTGCTTGAAGGGGTGTGGCGGGTGGGGTTGGAGAGTGGGGGTTCTGTCTGGGCTGGACTCAGCCTTCATCCAAAGCTGCTGGTGGCTCTTCTCCCGAACTGCCAAGCTGGAAAGCTAAGTCAGCACTTCCCAGCCTCCAGGAGCTGTGGATCTGGGCTCTTATGCTCTATGGAGGTAAATTTGGGGCAGAGCTATGTAGCACGGCACACCCGCTTTCTGAGACAGACCGTGGTAACACAGGCAGGCTCTGTGAGCTGCTTCCTGATCCACCAGCTTCCTGTAGTACTGACTGCGGATTTCTCAATCACAGGCAGAGGTCATGTGACTGCCAAAGCTGGCAGTTATTTCAGACCTACAGCCTGCTTCTTCATCCCTTTCTGTTTCAACTAGCAGTGTGTTCTTGCTGTCTGCCACTGCACTCTAACGGACACGTGTGGCTTAGCAAAAAAAAAAAAAAAAAAAAAAATTCAGGAATAGCAAGCTGTTGGTATCGGTTAAGGCATCTGATGGTGCCAGGGTCTTGCCTGGAATTCTCTTACTTTTCCTCTTAGTAACAAGATGGCTGCTCTACCCCAAACCAGCAGAGTAAAATTTGGTGAATGTGGGATTCTATGCAGCACTTAGTAGATGTCCATGAGATTGTAGGCCAGACATCTCTGACACATCCCCTAACCATAGCTTCCTTTTTCTCAGTCACTTTTGAGCTGGGTCTGGTTGCATAATGAAGGCTTGGCTGGGAATGGCTAGCAGAAGTCTGATGGATGGAAACTCTTTGCTGTCTTGACACAAGACATCAGGAGCATCTCGGTCCTGCCTTCACGCTCTCCCTGTGTCTCCCTGCTGCCTGGAATCCTGGGCATGCACACAGGTGTGTGCGCCCACCACATTTAGCTTTTCCGTTCTTCCCGAGGTGGGTGCACCTTAAGGAAGGTTCCCTTGGGCTCACAGTTCTAGGGCACAACCCACCACGACAGAGCAGCCTAGGAAGCAGGTCGACAAGGCAGCTGGTCACACTGAATCTGCAGCAGGAAGCCAAGAAAGGTGAACGCTCAGGCTCAGCTTGTGTTCTCTTTGTTTGGTCCAGGACCTCAGCACCTGGGATGACGCCACCCATAGTGAAGACAGATCTTCCTTCCTCAATGATGTACCTCAGACAACCCCTCCCAGGCATTGTCCTTAGCTAGTCTCCTGGGTGAGTCTAGAGCCTGTGACATGGATATTAACCCTCATGGTGCTCAGGTTGCTGGCAGCTTCTTGCCACTTGCAAATAATGCTCCAGTGAACACCTTGGATCCATCTAGCTCTGGACATGCTGGGCTCAGGGCACACACTGCTTATGGACCAGACCTTGCGATGCTGCTCTGTTTTGCACGGTTCCTACCCACAGTGATTTCCCTCTACGCCCAGGCCAATGATTCAAACTGTTGGCTTCACATTTTCCTCAAAGCAACAGACAGAATTAGACAGCAACATCCACATTTGACGTGGAATTTCTTGTTATCACCAAGGTGAGCCTCTCTCCTCACATCTGATGATTGTTCTCGTTACCACTTCCGGGATTTGCCTGCTTCTGGCCTTTGCCAGCTTGGTGGGGTGGTTCTTATTCCTTTTTTTTCCCCCTGACACTTTGGGAATTTTTTGTTTTGTTTTGTTTTGTTTTGTTTTTGTTTTTCGAGACAGGGTTTCTCTGTGTAGCTTTGTGCCTTTCCTGGAACTCGCTTTGGAGACCAGGCTGGCCTCGAACTCACAGAGATCTGCCTGGCTCTGCCTCCCAAGTGCTGGGATTAAAGGCATGCGCCACCACCGCCCGGCCCTGGGAATTTTTTTAATTTCCCAGATAACAAATCTTTTAGATGTGTCTACCATACTATAATCCAATGGTACTTCTGTTAAAAGAAAGCCTGAGTTTGGATATGGTTAAATTCTTCAAAAATTCTCCTTTTACTTTTTGTTTTAGTATCTTGTTCAAGAAAAACTTTACACTTACAAAAGATCTTCATTCTTTTTCTTAATCTTATAGTTTTATTTTCATATTTAGCCTTTATTCTGAATTCATTTTTTTTATTTTTAGAATTTCTTTTTTTTTTAACTTTATTTTATATGCATTGGTGTGAAGGTGTCAAATCCCCTGGAACTAGAATTACAGACAGTTGTGAGCTGCCATGTGGGTGCTGGGAATTGAACCCAGGTCCTCTGGAAGAGCAGCCAGTGCTCTTAACTGCTGGGCCATCTCTCCAGCCCCCTGAATTCATTTTTATATACTGAGAAAAATATCTGTAGACTGAATTGTGTCCCATCCCCAACTGAAATGTGATGAGCTAACCCCCAGAGTGACTGTACTTGGAACGAGAGCCTTGGATAATGTAATCAAGTTTAGGGGTGAAAAAGCCATTCTAGGCCAAAGCAACTGTGCTGAAGGGGTCACCATTTCTGATTACAGTACAGAGTCACGATGATGGCGTGGCACTTTACAGAAACAAAGGACTAGAGGACACAGAAGCAAACACAGTTGTAGTGTGTGTGTGTGTGTTTATGTGTGGGTATGTGTGTGAGTACAGTGCCCACAGATCCGGAGTGGTGCCAGGGGCCCAGACCTGGGTTATGGCTGCCTGGCATGTTGACACAGGTGCTGGGAACGGAATAACAGTACTCGGCAGGCACGGTGACGCACGTCTTTAATCCCAGTGACAGGAGGCAGAGGCAGGCGATCTCTGTGGGTTTGAGACCAGCCTGGGTTATAGAGGGAGTTCCAGGCCAAACAGGCCTACACAGTAAGTGAGGTTGTCTCAACACAAAAAATCAAGAAACCAAACTAAACCCGACCACTTCAGGATACAGCCCTGGGCAGGGACTTCAGCAAAGGGCTCTGATAGCTCAGGAAGTGACTGTAAGATTGATGATGAAAGATGGAAGGAAATTAAAAATTCAACACAGCCAAAGAAGCAGCCGAGTGAGGACAGTCCACAGCGTGGGAAAAGAGCTTTGTCAGCTCCACATCTCCGAGGGATTAACATATCGATAAAGAACTCAACAAACAAAACACACAAAACCCAAGTCAACCAATCAGTAAGTGGGCAAATGAATTGAACAGGCCATTCTCAAAAGAATAGCCACAAATGGCCAAAAACATTTG